TGTTGAAAACCACCGGAGTTCCCGCGTCGATGCAAAACATCGTAAACGAACATCTGCGTCAGAACGACGGTGACCGATGTGTGTTCCATAAGAGTCTATGCCGAAGGCGAGGACGTCCAAGTGAAAAATCGCAAAGAATTCAATGACGTCGAACGCGATCGGAAAGGAAGCGGATGGATAACCATCTTCGATGCTCGCGACGCAGCTTTTGCTTATCCAATTAACCGACGAGACAATTCGATCGAATATCTTTAAATTATGTTTCAAATTCCTTACAGGATAATGTTCCACCCCACGAATATAATGTAATCCAAAGAGTATTTACAACTTTCAAACCTCTAACAAAGTAAGATCAACATAAAAAACGGACGAGAAAGTTAGAATATAAACGGTGATCATTTAATAGTACCTTTTCCTGCAGGCAGATAAGAGGATGAAAATTTTTAAATTACTGCTACAAGAACTTTCCGCGATCCTTTGAACTTTCGAACTACAAGTTCAAGTTTCAAAGTGATCCTACCTATTCAGCGGGTTAAAAATGGTAACATGGGAAGCATAGTGAACGCACGGAGGTACAAAATATTCCATAAGGTTCAACATTACCCTTTCCCGAAAGAACAGTTACACGATACGCGGAACGAGTACACCTTATTCGAATTAAGGGAAATGTTGGGTTTCAAGGTGCGCCAGCGAGCATTCCGTAAATCAATCGTAAATTTTTTAAATACAGCTCACCGTACTACATTCGGGGGACAACTAACGAGCATTTCGCGGTTGTTGGTTTACGGGGAACGTCGTAAAAATCACCGAAACAGATACAACAAGGCTATTCCATAGGCGAACAATCGCGATTACACCGGGGGCGTGGAGGAGTAGGATAGCAGCGGCATATAACGAAACTGAAAATCCAAATACGCGGAGAAAGGGTTAAAGGCGTCTGGACATTCCGGAACCTTTTCTCATGCACGTGCACACGTATAGATCCGCGTGTGCCGACTACGTCCGAGGACCGTGTCGCTGGCTGTTTCGTGATTGCGCAAAAATCATTTGCATGACAATGAAGCACGACCGCGTGCCGGATAGTTTAACTCGTCGCTCGAACTGAGAAAAAAAAAGCTGAACAACGCCTGAAAAGCATCCAAGCTATGGGAAACCGAGCGCTAGATGAAATGCGCGACAACGCGTCACTGGGGCTACATTATTCACCTCCGGTCGTTCAATTAAACCGAGCTGTATCAGGATACGTGTTGTTTTAGGTAGAGAAATGTATCCCGGGGTTTTTCAGAGTGCTGCTTCACGCGATCTATGTTACGTGAATCATCGACAACGAACGCTATGCGTCAGAACTGAAAATCTGATTTAAGCGAACAACCCCATTCTTTGGGCCACACTCTTGACGCGATTCTAAAAGGAGAAGGAGCACTTATGAAATTTGATGGAACTATCCTTTTATCTTTCATTTCTTCTTCGTATGATTCAGTTCTTTCATCAGGCTTTATACTTGTTGGAACGTTCCTTACGAAACATGTTAGAAGCAAGGAAATAAAGACCGATTAAGATAAAAGCATTCTACGTTTCTGCAATAAATTATTACTCATCAATACGATTCATATCCGTGCCATTTAATACGAATTGGACTAATTGGAATGATTTCCACAAAATGCTTTGTATACGCCGTGTCGATACAGAGTTCTTGAAAAAAACTAAAGATTCGATCGATGACGTAGTTGGTAAATCCCTCGCGAATGAAATCCATGGAACTCGCGGTCCGTAACCGAGTCTCCACGGAGTTTTTTTGTATCGTTGTCATTATCAACAATAGCGCGCTTCATGGGGATCCGATCGTATTACCTGCCTGATAATCCCCGACACCGGTATTATAATTACTGTTAAAAGCTACCTGTGGCAACGACAAGGCGTCCTTCGAGACGAATATGCAAACAGATCCTGACGTTTTAACGGTCGATTTTTCAGACTTAAAATTATCTGCGAACACCGGTCGTTTGGCTTCGATTTAAACCTATACCGTTCGCGAGACATCGTTTATTTTATTAGCGTCGCGGGTTTTAATTTATTCAAACGAACTTCGGAGAGTCGAAGTACGACGTCCAAACGGGGGGAGTAATAGCAACGTGGACGTTTCTGCCATACAGTTTTACCTGGCCGGTGGATATAATTGATAGGCAAGTGCAGACCGCTGGGGGGACGACCCCCTGCGTGCGATCAAACGCATCTGCGACAGACACCATATGCACGAACCGTTGCGAACGGACAGGTAGTATATGTATACAATTCCGAGGCGTTCGCTGGGGCACACGTTAATTGCCCACGCAGCTTCGATAACGGCACCCGATTATTTCGTAACTATTTTCCTGCCACCGTGATTGTTCCCGACACCGATCTCTGATGCATGATCAAGATTGCCGCGAAAGTGTACGCTATTATTGTGCTGTGAAACAGCCACCACGATCCTGTCTCGAAACAGAAAATCCACGGAAAGATACGCACAAGGCCCATATAACCCATTAGACGCAATACCTAGACATCGAGTCTAAAGTGTATACCTTCAACATGCACAGTCACCGATTGTTTTTTCAATGCGGAAGGCAAGAGCGAGTGGTAAAATTTGTTTGAAAAATCCTGCGCGACAGACCTGTGGTGAGGAATGGGTTTCGAGTCTAGAGAATGCTAATGCGTTTGGGGCGATATGGCGGGAAGGGTCTCGCACGGATTCGACCACTTTGCGAATGATTTTATAGCCTCGGCTGATGAAATATTTTAGTATAATCTATGCGTATGTTAATACGAATACTTCAGGGATGCTGTTCTCATGTTGTATACGTTTACATTTAACTCGAATTTTATAGAAATTTCCGGTCACCGTATATATTCCATATTCCACTGTTGTTTCTATGCACTATGTGTCTACTCGGAAGGAAGACGAGTAAATCCGTTATCTTTTTCCTTGTTGTTTAAAATAAAAAAATCGCGATATGATTTCATTGTTTTGAATAAATCAATATCTCGCTTTGATTCCAAATAACGTTATCGCAAAAGAACGAACGAGCGACAGCATGGTTGTAAGGTGGAAGAATATTCAGGCAGGTATATGATACGAGGTAGAACGAACAAAACTGTTTGGAGGGATTCGAGGAAGACCGAAATGCTCGGGGCGGGCCTCTAAATTCAGTTTGGGCTCGATGAAAAGGAAAAGAGGATGGCGGCGTGGGCAACGGACGAGAGAGCAGGTCAAACTCGATTGTGTCGGGGATCGACCGGCAGGTAGTCGAGGCATTACGTTTTTCTTTTTGTTGGGGCTTGACAGCGAAGCACGTGAACGGGGAACGTCGCGCCGCGGCGACGGGCATCGGATTTCAATGCGGTATAACGAAAATCCTCGTGAAAGTCACTCGCGAACAATATTATCGAAACAGTCGGTCGTGTCGGGTCAAGTTGATCGCGAGGGATTTAGCTTCCAGGTAATCTCTAGCCTCGATCGGTCGCAGCTTTTCAAGTGTATCTCGAGCCGAGGATTCGAGCGCTGCTATTGGACGATATTCAAAAACGGTTGACACTGCCGTGAGAAGCGGTTCCGCGATGCTCGTCCTTGTTTGAATGCACGATTATATACACCGGATAATTCGCTGCACCGGCTGTACCGTGTGTCGAACGATCACCGAAACACCAATAACACCGATACGTTCGACGAGCACCACGCGAAATTTGGGTAAAACGAACGGTAGGAATATCATGTTACGTGGAAGGACTTCGAGCGCCTTTGGAGGTTACATTTCCAGTTCGCGACGCAGCACACTAGCTCGCAGGAAACCGTTCAGGATGTGAATGGATTAAATCGTGATTACTCACCGTTCGATGTGGATTCGCGTCGTCGTTAGCGCACTCGGTACACTTTCCTTCAGGCGGTGCAACTACAAACTCGCGGCGAAAAAAAAGGATAACCGAATAAACTGAACACGACGAGGACGAACACAACACACTCACGAGTCACAAAACAGACTGAAGCTCGCTCCCTGGCCGGGCACTTCTCCCCGACGACGTTGCTACGAGACCGACCAACACGACACTGTCGCCCTCTATCCACGCCGCGGAAATTTATAGCAGCGCTACGTAAGCCCGCCATATTTGAAACGCATTCTTTTTATACGGTCCGGTGTTCCTTGAATATTCTTAATTAATTCTGCTTAATTAAGACGAATCAGCAACAAAGTTGTTTATATAACAATGCATGTCAAAGTCTATTGTTTTTTTCTATATACAATACAAAATCATAATTGTCACAAATATATGACGGGAAATAGTCAATGCATTTATTATACTTTCATATTTTTTTAAATATGAAAGAACTTCATTATCGGTGTGAGGTGACTGCGTCATATTTTCATGATACTTTACAGGCAATACAATCATGCAGGGCTATATTAAAATGTAAAGAGCGTAACGTTATATTCTTATAAAAAATTGTTTACTGTATCATACAAAAACCTGTATTAGGTGTGCAAATACTATAAATTGAAATGCACAAAATATACAACACGTATGAACGTAAATATATTTTTCAATCGATATTTACTTTGTTACACTTTAAATAACATCTGGTATATCAACGAAGTAATATAAATATTTATAAGCTTTACAATCTTTGGTCGTGATTGTATATAACGGGAATTTTAAATTACTAGACAAATATACAAATATTCAAGATGGAACACGTAGCACGGTCGCCTAAATGTATATGTATACCTGATGCTTTTTTAAATTACCTGAGATCAAATTACAGAATGAATCGTTTTGGTCGTGACAAATATCCGCCATCCAGCATTGAAACCTTTTTGTGGAGACGAAGACACATAATCGAGGAAAATTTTACCTGTTTTTTTTATTGTGTCGCACAATTAGGGTCGACAACTATTAAGATTAATTACGAAAAAAATGTAAATATACCCGTAAAAATTTCTACGGATTCGTTTCAGTCGGTATAAGTATCCCATCTTTTGCGTTTTTATTTAAATCACACTAAGGCTCGATCATTCGTTGCGAGAAACGGTTGTGACAGTAACTTGTCGTCATTATTTCAGCACATGCCAAACAGTTACGAGTTTTCTAGGATTTTGGAGTATCGAGAACCAATGCAATCTCTCCGTTGGTCCTCTGACACCTTTTCCAAGAGCGACTTTGCCAATGTAGATGTCTTTAGATTTGTAGACCGAAGTAACCGAGTCTTCGCTGTCGCTCGGATGATCGACACTAATCGTAGGAACTTCAGAAGTCAAGGTCTAAAAGGTATATCAAGAATGTTAGTGTAATCTCTACCGTATCCCCTTTTTCTATCGTCTTACCTTACTACATAGTACCACTAGAAATTGCACACTATCCAGCTGATTATACGTTACATCAAACGTCAAAGTTTCGTTGAACTCTGGCTGCGCGGACGCGCAGAGAAATTTGGTTTTCTTTCTCTTCATTTTCTGTCCTGTCCTTGCATTCAGCATCAACACTCTAACGTAAGGATCTGAAATAGGTTACATTTATTTATAGTTAAATGTTAGAAAAATGAAAAAAGGAAACAGGAAAAATTGGTCATAGATTTTTGAATATTGGTATATCGCTTACTGAAGTAGCTTAAATTCGATACCACTGGCGTAAATTTGACGTCGCGTAACTTCATTACATTTATAGTCAGTCTCTGTGCAGTGGGTAAATAACTTATACCTAATAAAATATTTCCGAATACCTGTAAGAAAAAGAAATTATTACTCCTTATTTTTGTAGAGAGATGTGACTAACAAATGAAGAATCTTTATCGTTATGTTCGACGAACATACCAAACTGGACGGTTTCATTCTAAAATTAAACATATGGATCTCTGGACTTTGCAAAATCTGCTTCACTTCTTTTATGGACACCTTCATATTACACAATTCCGTGTCGTTGGCGTACCTGTCGTGATCGCACGCCGACAAGTCGAGAATCCAGTCCTACAAGAGGAACAATCGAAATAGACGAATCCTTCGTGAAATCTGCAGAACGCGTCACATCTGGGGCCAACGTTTGTTTTTGCCCGTAACTGAATCACGAAACACGCTATCGTGTTTGTGTAAAAAAAATACATTTGCATTGCACGCATGCGGGTATCGTCGCGCAGTCGTTACCCCAATTGCTTTCCTGATAAGCGGCATCTGTTTTTTTGCTTCGTAAAAAGCTTTAAACTAAATTTTTTATCGGCCATGCGTTCGTTTTACCATTAGAAGGCACAAACATTTACCGAGGCAGTTAAGTGTCATAGATGCACTTTAAGTTATGCCAGAATGACGTGTTCCACGACCTTGAATTAAATACAACGCTGGAACGGGACAGTGGAGAGATAAAAACGTACCTACCTTAACTTCGTGAGGCTTTACGTTCGCGACGACGAACGTCTCCTTAAAAATGGGACTAGCCGTATGCCTGACGCCTCGCGTACGAAAACTGTGCAACTTTTGCCGTTTCCTGTGACTCCACGATTGCTTCATAATGTTCAGGGCCACGTATGGCTCCAGCGTGCAGTTGTATTGCTTTGGTGGAAGTCCGGACAACGCCTGTAACGCCATTCAAACCCTTCAATTTACGCGGCAGTGTACGAGTTTGACGGGTTTTTCGTTTGTTTAAGTACATATCGATGCACTAATAACATGCACTTTAGGCTCATCTAACAATTACTCGATAGCTTTTCCAGAACTAACGTGTCATTAGACACTTTCGGCCTTCGTGGTAACCGATTGCAATTAGGCTAGAATAACAAAGCCGGTTTACCGTTATTATAAAAGTGACAGAAAATCGAATGGAAATTACAACGTTTAAAGCTATAAAAATTGATAAGGTCTTTGAAGTTTGATCGGAGAACCGACATTCCAGTTGCATCGAACCAACACATTCGCCGAGCCGAAGGAAACGAATCGTTGTGGGAAGGTTTGAAAGGAAGTCGACTCGTTAGAGATTTATAACTCGATTTCCATTCAGGTAGCAAAGTACGCACAAAAGAGGATACGGATAAAGGAGAACTGTTTAATACCTCGATACCGATGACGAGCTTCCCGGTAACAGTCTCGTCGAACGGCGGCAGATACTGCAGGCTCATTGTCAATTCCGTCGGGAATTCCCTTTGTTTCTTCTCGGCTTTTTGCTTGTCTTTCTGCACCAAGTTCTGCAACAAAGCGTGCATCAATAAAATTAATACAATGTGCCATAACGTTATTAAAATTATATCAACGGTGTGTATTACCAGGGTAGATGAAGTGCTCTCGAATTGACCATTATTGGAGTTCCAGGAAATTCTTTCGGTTGGCGCCTGGTTTTCGTTGATCGTGCCTGTACAAATTTTCATGACAAACATTTATAACAGGAATTTTCGTAACGTCATACATGCAATTACTTCGCAAAAATACTACGATGCACATGCAGCAGACGTGTTAGTACGAAATACGAGACCAAAATGAAAAATGCCAGGATTTGTAATTCTTGCGCATTATTTAAGATTTATAAACCGTGCAGTGCAATGCATGGTGTGTACTACAGTGTACAGGTAAAGAACTTGTAAGCACAATTACACAGTACCATTGGTGCTGTCTTCATAGAGGCTACCCAATCTCCATGACCTGTAGCTGACATCGTTCAATTTCGCCTGTTCATTCTCTCTGCTCTTGACACGCAACGGCACAGTTTTTGCATCTCTCTCTGCAAGGAATAATTCATACCTTTTGATTATGTAATTTGTAAACAGATGGGACGGCCACAACCGGCAACCCGTTCGACGATTCGTTTGACTCGTTAATTACGTGCTTCATTTCACGTATACAAACGAAGTGAGTCCTAATTCCTACGGCGTCGCAATTATTGAACATCCGCGACCGAAGGCTATTAACGACGGTTAATACTTGATGCTGCGAGGAACGTGTTCAATACGTACGTTTATTAATATTCCGTGCCACAAAACGTTACAATAAGGGAGTTAAATCGTAGTTTAGCAATAGCTGAATAAATTATCCAAAATAGAAGCTCTTTTGTCTAATTTACTCGTTTTAGATTTCAAGCCGCTGTATCTAAGTTGATGTACAACGAACGACGAAAGTACCCGAACGATAGAATAGTCGAAGAGAGAATCTTCGTATAAAAATAAATAGAAAACACATCGTTAGGTTTTTTAATCGTGGCTTTGTTCGAGGCAACTTTATGCGATACACGTTCATCCTAGCATCATCGGTTCGTACAAGAATACTAATCAAATTTACAAACAATTTATTATAGAATTTAAGTATGAAATTTTCTTGTTCGATTGTTTCCATCACTCGTCGTCTACGTTTCATCCCAATTTAATTATTTTCGGGCGGGTAATAATGCTACGGCAAAATAGGGCAGTGGATATTCAAGTGGTTGCAGAGGAGTACTAACATTGACCACGGTCAAAAACGCTGGAATCTGGAGCATCGCAATTTCTTTACCGATGGATTCTACATTTTTTATTTCAACGTCTGAGGCAAGAATCAAACGCAGCAATGTAACAATATTCTTCACGTGCAATTTCTGTGAGTTACTACATCAGCTTGGTAACGAGTACTTATAATTGTGAGCGTTTAACGACGCTGATGACACTTATAAGGAGAAGCCTGCCCATGACGCGAGCTCCTCTGAACGAGCGAGCGAGGCAGGATTTACAAAATCCTTTTGTGCGGTCAGGATGGGCGTTTCCATGGCGGCGCTATCGGAGAGCCGTGTGTAGTTTGTTTGCGGGATGACATACCTAATTACATAACATCGCGGAGGAAACGAAGAAAACGTCGTGCGCGTGTGTGCACAAATATAAATGCGCGAACAATGGCGTAACGTGTAAGCCGTGTTGAACACACGCGATTCACGAAGCAGGAATCCACGCTTCCTTCCTTTCAGAGGAAAACCGCGTATTCTTTGTTGTATAAATCCCGTTTTGACCGCGAGCGAATCCCGATTCTACCGTTAAGTTGATAACTATATTCCGATTGTAGAACCTGATGGAAAGTGGCAAATCACAGAAGATTCAACGGTTCGGATCATTACCGTTTTATATTCCAGGGAGACCTTTTAATAACCTGTATCCTGCTTCGCAAACGTAATCCAGCTGCTCTTGTCATTTTATATTTTACGTAAGTTTGTTTTAAGGATCCACGGTCCGAGTAACAGGCTGAAATGCGTCGCATATCGTCCCCCTGAATCGACTACTAATGGAAGCATCCGACTAAGCTCTCAGGTTGTCGAGCTACTGAGAGTTGTGAGCTTCTCAAAGGTGTCCAGTGGACGATTCGAAAGTATCAAAAGCCAGGTAAACGCACAATTAATTTTCCCGACACGCGTTTTGTGTACACACAAGCAAGAAAATGAGATATTACTAGACGTGCTTAGGCGCAAGACGCCCCCGCGCTTAATCGTACTATACACAAAGAACCGTCACCGATTCGATTCTTAAAATCTAAATATGTAATATACATGTTAAGATAAACAACTAGGCTATCGAAGCAATGCTGAAGTGGTATAACTAACAATTATGCGTACGCGATGCGTAGATTGTCCATTAAAGGAAACGGTCCAAGTATGGTATTTCCGTTTAGTTTTTCATTATCTGTTAATGTCGAGTGTTTTTTGAACAATGAAACTATGAATAAGAATCATCAGGCACCTACATTTTAAAACAACCGAACGGATACTCTTTTCGAATTCCGTTACAAATTTGGTGGATAAAATGAAAATGAAGCTTACTTCGGTTTTTGATGCACTTGTATACAGGACATCTTGGCGCCAGAAAGCATACGATCACCACCAAAACAAAGACAAGGGCCACCACTGTTGGTACCACGATGATGAGAATTTGGCCCCACGGGCCATAATCGTCATCGTGCACCATTCACTGGAAACATACGTTCAAGGTTACTATCAGCCCACTCATGCACATGGAACAACGTCGGGGATCTATTATCAAAACTGATCGATGACCGACGTTCCTCGGGAGGCTAACTTGGTAAGCGGCTTCTTTTCAGTTATTTTACTCTAGAGTGTTATTTGAACGTACTTCTTCGTATCTTATCATAAGGAACCATGACTCTGTTTTTATAATGTTAATTCTTTTCCACGTATGCCGTTTTTGTCTACAAATACATTCCAAGCGAAAGTGAAACTTAATTAGTAACATATATTGTAGAGCCCTTCTATCTTCATCGAAATCGTACGGACGACTGTTATTAAACTATATTTTGACAGAAATGGTACAGAACACGTGAATTATACACAGCATTTTCTTTCGTCGTATTCCAAACAAAAGAAAACTGCGCACAGGAAATAAACATGTACCGTCGTACAAGAAACATGTATAATTTAGAGTTTGAAACGAATTTCAAGATTCGTTCATACATATATCCTATGTGTTCTTAAGCCACGCGTTGACAGATAGGTAGTAGGACAACGTCAGAAATTACTCGTGTCCACGGGTCGTGTTTCGCGTCGTACATCTGTCGCAGTAGTTGTCCCGCGTCATAGGGGCACGAAAAATAAGCCACGTTAATGCGCGCAGAAAACACTTGTGCTTTCCATGCGCGTTCGTCTCTATCCGTACGACAAAAACGCGAGAGGGTACACTCGGTCGACCGTCTAAGAAATACCGAGAAACTGACAGAACTTTTGCACTCCTTTTTCCCCGTTTTTCTCTCCTCTCGGCACATACTCGCGTCGCGTATGAAACACCTGTTACAGACAGTACGCGCCAAATACGATCGTGAAATAGCATATGGGCTGCCCAGACTCGAATCGAATTTTATCTTAATTCACTGTTTCGACGCAATTCCACAATACGGAATGACGATGTGGTTACGGAGTATTGGCACCTTCCTTTTTTTTCCAGGTGTTGCGTGTGTTACTCCTTGACTACAAAAGAAGGTTTATTAAAACCACTCGTCCACCGATATCACTGCGAGAAGCTCTAATTTTGTTGGATCCTCTCCCAGGATCACCGTTATACAATTCGGTTTTTGTTCGCGCGCAACCGATCCTTCGAACCGATCCGGATCGATTCTATCGATGACAATCAATTTGCGAAGAAGGATACTCACTCGACCAGAAGTTTGTCCCATGACGACGAGTGTCAAGACGGATCGAATAACATTCGCGGACTTCCGTGGTAAGTCGGCGAACGATAAAAATAAAGAATTGACAGTAAAGGACAATTAATCGTCTCGGCCGCGCGTCCTTCGCAGCTCGACGCGGCGACTTCGTGCGCGATCGTCAACTCCCGGTGAACGACAAACTTGCCAGCGCACTGGGGGACCTGCATAGAACGAGGAACGAGTAACGCGTGCTATCTACGTGCCCCTCTCCAGACTTCGACGACTCTGCCTATTTCGCCGGTAGCTGGCGGTACGCGACTCGATATGTTACGTGGGCACGTATACCTGCTTCGAAAACATCGATTGTGTCCCGTGTTTATAAGTTATAGGAGAACCGTTCTTTCGATAAACGGAACATTCGATACAAAGCGTCGTCGTTCGATGTGTCCAGGCCACCACGCGTTTCCGGTGAACGCGGGACTATTCGACCACCCAACGCGCCAACGCGTCGCTTATCTTTCGAACGCTAATCGGGTCTTTCGACTACCTTGGGTGCTCGCGTATTTCGTCTGATTTTTTCCTTGTTGCCCGCGAACAAACCCTAAATTCGGTATGCGTACGCGTCAACGAGAAAGTTGGCGGGCTACCGTTGATAACGCGTGCGATATCACGAGTGTGTCCACGTTCTATCAACAGAACTGTTGATAGAGCGTCTACATACACGGAACTACTGTACACATTGTTCGTCACCAGTGCACGATTACCTCGAGTGCGTATATCTTGCGATACGGATTTGCGGGGGCGTAGGTGTTAAATGCTCTTGATAGAGAATATGTCGAAAATAAACGAACACCGAGATTCAAAATACATACACGGTACGGCACTCCGACGTTTGCTTTTTAACGACGAACAGAAAAAAAAATATTATGCTGCGATGTTAACGACCTTCCAATTGCATAGCGTATTCCTGAGAGGTTTAAACGGAAAGCGTCGCTTCGTACGATAACACCAACGCGTTAATTTATGCTCGACGAAGGTGGTATGGAACTAGGTATGCCACGTGTTGTGTTCGGACAAGAATTTACGAATACACTTTGATATATGTACATAGGCACTACCTTTTACATGAAACAAGGACACGTGAGGTACTCGAGTAAAAATCCGGATTGCACTGCGCAATTACGTCTGCAAGAATAACTCGCATTTAAATGTACCCGGAAAAAGAGAGCCCCTGTAAGCTTTTTATGCAGTCCGAGTTAGTTTAGATTGCTGTTCGTAACAACCTGGTCGGCTTTCAGTACACACCTACCCACGTAATGTAACGGAGCGTCCTCTTTCAATTTGCTGTACAATAGGCATCTGGATCGGACCTTAAGGACTTGAATGGACCGTATTTGAACGGAACGCTAGTGTCGTTGATTAAAGGATTCTTTCTTTGGTTTAAGAAGTTACATCATAATCGGACCAGATGCTACCTTTTCTCACGCACTAGACCGACCTGGTCACTCTGTAGGTGTGTTTTCTTCTTACGACACCATAGTTTTCGCAATGGCAGTCTTCAATTTCCCACGATACATGGAATTGTGGCACTTGTCGAATGCGTTTCAATATTCCTACATTTTGAAACCATTGACAGAATTGTTTTTCTCTGAAACTTTATCTTTCACCGACCACCTACGTATTTAATTCAGAAACTTTACATTATGCACAAATCACGTTAACCTTTAGACTGCTGGGAGTATCCCTTTTAGGACCTTGACAAAATTCGAAATTCATCGCAGTGCATATCTTTGGATATACTACATATATAGTTTGGCCAAGAAAAACCACATTCTTGTCAGAAAATACCGACAGTCTACAAGTTAACAAGAATACAAGTATAAGGGATACATAACATTGTTCGCCAACACATCCATCAAAAGCAAACTGTCCACATAGAAAAAAGCACAACTGAGCACACTCGTTGCGTGCTCGTGTTATATCGAGCTTGATCAAACAATAGTTAAACGACCTCGTTGAACACGAGGAAGGAAATCAAGATATCTAGTTGCCATTGAAAATTACACTGATCGGTAACGTAGTTTCACTTTTGTTACTCGATCGAGCGGACATGTAATTTCCGGACTTTTCCGGGTGAATCTTCGAACGTCCACGAAACGCTTTCGCGTGACTGACGATGCCGCTTTGCTTTTATCCAATTACTTACAGAGCACGCGGAATGTAACTCCAAAGATGTGATACGTAATTTTCTGAAAGAGTTCCGAAATAGACTCCCTTGAATGGCACATTTTACTCATGTTCACGTACTACAAAATGTCCTGATTTCGTGAGGGACGCTGAACGAAAACTTCTGAATCGCTCCTGATTTCTCCAGGCGGTCTAGATTCGCAGCGCAACGATCTTTATTGTCGGCAGCGGAGCCGGGAATTATTGAAATCAAGTTTCATTCAAATCATCCTCACGATAGAATTTCTGCCATACTCGTTCCGAGCTGCAGCTAAACCGGTGTCGTTTTCCTTGTGTATATTTCACTTCTTAGAGAATTGAAATCGATGTCAACGACCGATCGCTGATTATTAATTGTTCTGTAACTTTCAATTCTAACTTTGCAACGTTGAACCGTAACAAAAAATTTCTCATGAATTTTAAATAAGCTTGAGATGACCATTAGCAGTATTTCGTTCGTGCAATCATTTCTTGCGGTAATTCATCACTGTCATTCGGAGCGAAAAATTAGTTATTAATTGCTTGAAGGTTAATTAATCGCTCGACGGTCCTCGATCACTGAAAATCTACACGATCTAACCATTAACCCCGCATAAATAAAGATTGCCAATGATACACAAATGTTACGCCACACCTGAAGAGTTCAGTGAAACAAGGAAAGCTTCGATGCGCTAAAAAAAATTCCATCTTAGACATTCCCGGGGAGAAATTAGCTAATTTTTCCCCGAAAATATCCAGAATTCCAAGCAAGCCAGCGAGGTATAAAGACGAATCGGAGCCGAATATGCGTGCGCGTGCGTGCGTGCGTGCTTGCGAGCAGGAAGGAGAAACAAACAGAGGAAAAGGAGAGAGAGTTCATCCCCGATGGATCGGCGGTCGTTCGGACTCGGTGACCTCGATCCCCGAACCACGTCTCCTTTCACTCGAGAACTTCTTTCCGGAGGTCTTTCTCGCACCGGCGGTGCCAAGGAACGTGGTTGCATTTTACCGCGCTGCTGCTAGTGCTGCTAGCCTCAGTTCGCCGGAGAAGGCCGGCTCCGACGCCGTGTTACCACCTGCTACAGCTCGAGCTTTAGATTTCACTTTCATGTAAGTATAACGATACGTGCCTAAGTCAACAGACGTTCTCGTGGCTGTCGTGCCGCGAAATAGCCTTCGCGAGTAGTCTTTGTGGGAATAACCGAAATCAGTTATCCAGGTGAGGTGACCGCCTTTGCGATCGATGACGTCGATGCACCTGTAAATCGAACGCGTGGATTATCGGTGAAACGTCGATCGAACGTGGCTATCGCGGCTGAAAGTTCGATCTTAGCCGGTTTTTTGTGATTTCTACTTGTTTTCACTATACCTGTTGCTCGATTCGCTGGAAAGTAAGAAAGAGAATCATTGGAAGTACACTCGGTGATAGTTCGATCGATAATTCGCGCGACGACGGTGTTACTTCTAATTTCAAAATTAAGTATTGACCTGTGATGACTTTTGACCGTAGAAGATTCGTCAGTGTGAGACGATGCAACGTCTGGAAACCTAACAACGATTACGCATGTATGAGAAGATCCCACCGGTGAAAAGATGTCGAGCACGAAGGACGTTCTAGTAAAGCTGTGCATTCTGCTGCTCCTTTATGATCGTAAGTTGCCGCGCGTATTACTGTCCTTCGCCTACTTTTCGTAAAATCGTCTCCGTGTGATGCAAGGATCCTTGATCATAGTCCAAATCAAAAGGCCGACAGGTGTGTTTCTACGCTGATCGTTGGTAACACCTTATACCGTTTTATGCAAATTTTATGTTAATCTTACGTAAGGTTGAACTGAAAGCTACTCGAGCATATTAGAAAGAAGATGATACGATCCTTGAGTCAGAGTCGACGGGAAACGAAATTGAAAGTAAGATTCGAGTTTTGAAATGTCGCACCATTGATGAATTGTCTGCCTGTTTTTTTTTTTTTTTTTGTACACAACTGTGGACCAAATCACTATAAGAATCATTGATCATTTCAGATGCTACGTGTCTGATCATTCCGGAAGAGCTGCCGACGATACTTTCGCTGATCTACTCCAATATACCACCGATAAAAAAAGGTAATTCGATTGCGTCACGTGTGCGTGTCACACGTTTCGCGAATGTGTTTTCCCATAGAATTCGTACACTGCGATTTATCCGTAGTTGCCTCGAGCCACGCCACGCAAACCACTTTCACTGCTCACGCGTCTAACTCCATCGTCGTGCGATAATTCGAAACTGCCGGGAAACGAAACGTTTACCGTACTCGTCTTGATTGTTTTTTCTGTTTCCTGCGGCCAGGCACCGATTCGAGAGTCGGCGTGGGTTTCCGACTCGGCGAACACGCAGATTTCCAGGTACTGGTGGAGCTTGGCCCGCAAACTGAAACCAACCCGATCGGAAATGCTGACTCAAAGAGACGTCGAGATGTTAGTGTAATTCTGTTATTCTGTACGGTATACATTTCATAGAATAATCGACGATCTAACGAGCGATCTTTAATCAGGCAATGTTCAGCGCCGCGATGAGAGGTGAGCTCGGACCATTGGCTCAGGCGGTTGCAAAATATCAAATTGAACGGAAGTTGCAGAGAGAATTGGAAAAGTTGAAGAAGACGGAGGAGAAGCTGAAAGCGACCGCCACTGAAGAAACTCAAGGAAAAAAGGTAATTGCCATCTTTGTAGGGTATAATAAGTTCTGTAAATAAACTTTTCTTTTATCGTTTATTCTCTGATTCAGACTATAGCCAACGAGTGGTTATCTAAATGGAGCAAGGGAATGGTAAAGTCCTCCGAAGACGAGGCATCGACAGAAGAGATCTCTAATGAAAAAGGTTTCTCGAATTCTTCACAAAATAACACTGTACAAAGGATAGGGCGACCTCTCCCAGGGAGTGGTGGTAAGGGTACAATCTCGGATCTAACGAAATTGTACAAACAACAAAGTGACAAGAAGAACGAGTAATTCGAATCGGTTTTTTTACATATATAAATAGGATACGTGTTTTGTATATCTATATATATATATATCTCTTGTACAAATATCTACCATAAAAATATGACGTTACATGGGAGACACAGAAATAACAAAATTGATCGTTACTGCCTCGATACCAAAGGACATTACACATAGTTGCCAATGGTAGGGAAAGCGTATCATGATTGTGAAAGCTATGGTAAAAATTACCCGTATCGCTATTCGATAAACTTCCATGTGTTTATTTTTTAAACGACTATGCGCAATACTTAAAACATAATTTTATTAAAATTGAGTGTACTATATTGTATATTAGATTAACATATATTGTATATTCTTGTATTAAATATTTATGCAAAGTAAAGAAACAATTGTAATAATTCTTTTCTTTTTCGCGAAGTTCCTTTATATTTACTAAAATCGTAAAATATAGTGTGAATAAAATTGTACCATACAGAATGATTAATAACTAAATTGACTTAGTTATCTTATTTATGTATAAAAGTGTAGAAAAGCACGGTTTAGTGGTTGCAACAAATAATGTGCTGGACGACTGAGTAGGGTGCACGCACGTGGGTGAGACCTACGTATGAGCGAAGTCCTATTCTACAATAAAATAGCCTACAATAAACGAGCCTCTATGTACGTACATACTTTTTAACAGCAACAGGTAATATCGGGAACTGTAATAGCGATCGAAGTATATGTTCTTAGTTCCAACACCTTGTCACTGTAGACACGGCTGTGTCCATGTCCATTGCAATGGTTCTTATGCGAAAGAGTTGAGGTGACGTGTACGGTATTTTACAGTTTTCTGACAGTGGTTTTGCAAAATGAATGCATTTAAACGTGACAAAAAGGAGGAGGAAGATGGTAATCATGAATAAGCATCGTTCATTTTTCATAGTATTGTAAGCGTAAATTCATAAGCGTCATTAAACGAATGGATTGTATTCTTATGACAGTTCCTTGTAAACAGGTTCAGACGATTATTCGTCGTGAAATAGAGTTTTTTTCTTGTATGTGACCTAAACGATGAATTTGCACATACTTTTCGAACTACTGGAATACTGACACTTAGCTGTAGTATGCTCTTTCATATGTTTTTTGTGTTTCCAGGTGGGGGAAATCCTTTCCAAAATCTGGAAAAGACCACCGTACTGCAGGAAGCACGCACATTTAATGATACTCCAGTCAATCCAAGAAAATGTGCACACATTCTCACAAAGATACTGTACTTGTTGAATCAAGGGGAACAGTTGGGAACAATGGAGGCCACTGAAGCATTCTTTGCCATGACCAAGTTATTCCAATCCAGAGATGTTGTTCTACGACGCTTGGTGTACCTAGGTATCAAAGAATTAAGTTCCCTGGCAGAGGATGTGATCATAGTAACATCAAGTCTGACAAAAGATATGACTGGGAAAGAAGATTTGTACAGAGCTGCAGCCATAAGAGCATTATGTACAATCACCGATGGTGGAATGTTAGCTGCCATTGAACGTTATATGAAGCAAGCTATTGTAGACCGTTCTCCAGCAGTTTCTAGTGCAGCCTTAGTTTCTTCTTTACATCTGACCAATGTTTCTGGAGATGTTGCACGCAGATGGGCAAACGAGGCCCAAGAAGCATTAAATTCCAATAATGTAATGGTTCAGTATCATGCTCTAGGTGTTTTGTATCAAGCTCGTAAGTCAGACAAACATGCTGTAATAAAGCTAGTTGCAAAACTTACGAAAACCAGTCCAAAAAGTCCATATGCTGCTTGCATGCTAATCAGAATAGCTTGCAAATTACTGGAGGACGTTGGTGAAGCAATGGGATTATTGAGCTTCATTGAATCTTGTTTGCGTCAAAAGTCGGAAATGGTGGTGTACGAGGCTGCGCATGCATTAGTAAACCTTGGAAGAAGCGGAGCCAGGGAAATAGGCCCTGCTATTAGCGTCTTGCAACTGTTCTGCGTATCACCAAAACCAGCTTTAAGATTTGCCGCGGTTAGAACTTTGAATAAAGTCGCAATGACTCACCCAGCGGCAGTTACCGCTTGTAACTTAGATTTAGAAAATTTAATCACAGATTCGAATAGGTCGATTGCCACATTAGCGATCACTACTCTTTTAAAGACCGGTGCAGAAAGTTCGGTGGATCGATTAATGAAGCAAATTGCTACTTTCGTATCTGAAATTTCTGATGAATTTAAGGTCGTGGTTGTCCAAGCTATAAGGTAGCTGCACTCATACTATTGTTTTATACTTAAGTTCTTATAGAAGAATTTTCTGCACTATTTATTTAAATTTTCTTCCAGGGCTTTGTGCCAGAAGTTCCCTCGCAAGCACGCAGTTCTGATGAACTTCCTTTCTGCTATGCTAAGGGACGAAGGAGGCCTCGAATACAAAGCAGCGATTGCGGACACGATAATCGCCGTGATGGAAGGAAACGCTGAGGCGAAGGAGGCAGGTCTGGCTCATCTATGCGAGTTTATAGAGGACTGCGAGCACATTTCCCTCGCTGTTCGCATCTTACATTTGCTAGGGCAAGAGGGCCCGACTTCCAAGCAACCGTCCAGATACATTCGTTTCATTTATAATCGTGTGATTCTGGAAAGTGCCAGCGTACGTGCTGCGGCAGTTACCGCGTTGGCTCGTTTTGCAGCAGCATGTCCACCGTTGCTGCCCAATGTGTTGGTTCTATTGTCTCGTTGTCAATTGGACTCCGACGATGAAGTTCGTGATCGTGCTGCTTACTATTGCGCCATTCTCCAACAGCAGAACGACCCAACCATTCTTCCCCTAGTACAACCCCCTCTGTTATCCGTGCCTAGTTTAGAAAGATCTTTGAAGAATTACATGCGAACACCTATGGACGATCCATTTGACATTTCCCAGGTAGGCCCATATTTTAATGTATGTTGTTCGAGGTTATTCTAGCACTTATTTTATGAAATTCGACCGTTTTCAGGTTCCACCAGCACAGACTACGGAAGAACCACCGCAAATAGAAGTCCACGCGACTGTGAAACAACAACAACCTCGTTTGACGAGAGAGGAAAGCTTCATGGAAAAGTTGTCACAGATACCGCAGTTGGCGATGGCCATTCATAATTCTACGCTGCTTAAGTCTTCGCCTGTCTTTGAACTAACGGAATCGGAGACAGAATACAACGTGAAATGTATCAAGCATACATTCACGGAAGTCCTTATTCTGCAATTCGATTGCATAAATACACTTACTGATCAATTGCTGGAAGATGTAACAGTAGCTGTTGAACCGCCGGAGGAGTAAGTACATTTTCACATACTTTATTCAAATGATATATCTTGGAAGAGGCAACATTTCTGTTGTGGTTTTAGTTATGTAATCATCTGCGAGGTCCCCTGTGCACGTCTACCATATAACGAACCGGGAACTACGTATACAGTATTAAAATATCCAGAAGATGTTCAGGCTAGTGTCGCCACTATTCCGACAACTCTGCGGTTCATGGCTCGAGATTGTGACCCTGCAACAGGCGTTCCGGATGCTGAACAAGGATACAAGGACGAATATATGGTACTTCATTTTCTAAATGCTTCAGAAAAGAAAAACAAACAGCGCATATTTAAACAGATTCATTTATCTTTGTAGCTGGAAGATTTAGAAGTGACTCTAGCTGATCAAGTTCGAGGACTTGGAAACAGGGAATTAGATTTCAATGCTGCGTGGGCAGCAGGGGCAGCAAAGGGATTTACTAAGTTTGAAGAGACTTTTATTTTAGGTACTTCTGTAAATACCTTGGAAGGCGCGATCCAAAGTATCACGGGATTCTTGGGCTTAGAAGTTGTAGAACGAACGAATCGAGTTCAAGCGGGTGCTGCAGCCCATAATTTGTTATTAAGCGGCGTTTTTAGAGGTGGAAAACAAATTCTTGCTCGTGCAAGATTAGCATTGTCCGGCACTCAAGTAACGATGCAACTTTCTGTGTTGTGTCCAGACTCGGATGTTGCTGAATTAATAATTTGTTCTGTAGGATAACTCAACACCTAATCGTGTCATTGAATCAACTGTACACATATGCATGTACCGAAGGATTTCTTCTATAAAAGTCGATAATCTATGCCAGAAGCTCCATATTTTTAGTATTATAAAAGTAATGTTGTGGTGAAACAAATGATCACGAAACCCGGGGCCGCTGAGTCTCTATTTCTATGTAATACTTTGTACATATAATTATAAAATTGTTCTCTAAATAACATTGTTCAAGTTTTTATTTTATTACATACCAATATAAACTTTCTTCCATTGATTTCAATTTATAATAAAACATTTACTAATGTTTGTTTTCATTTTTCCAATATTTGTAACGTCGAAGATTAGGTGCACATATGTACACATGTGCATTACATATTCAGAAGCTTTTTCTACCTTACCGACCAACCGTTCACAATGTTAGGAACTCCAACATGGTTTCGCTTCCTTTCGAAAATGGCTGCCGTATTGGATGAAGTCGGCAAATCCGCCGAAAAATTGGTAAACGAGGAAAAAGACGAAATTGTCGATGCAGAGGATGAAACTGGCGCAGTAGAAGCGTCGAAGAAGAAAAAAAAGAAGAAAAAGAAGAAGAAAGCTGGTGCGTTGTTTGATGTGCTGTTGGGTGTATCCTTGTCTGTTCCGAGTATAGGGTTTGTCTCGTGTCGTCTCTTATTTTCCAATGACTTAGTTTGTAATATAACACCACTAGTGATTGTTCTTCTGAAATATTATGTCCCGACTTTTTATCTTCTGCCAAAACAACTTCAAGTTAGAATATGATTACTAATAGATGAAATAAATGATTACTAAACGTCTCTGAGAACGACGCAATGTGGAAGTCGCTGCACCTGTATCACTTCATGTTATCGTTTATTTTTTCAAAGAATTCTTTTATTACTTTGTGTTCATCAAGTATTTGTGAATGTCTTTCTATTGACACATTTATTTTCTTAAAAATATTTTACCAAACATTGTATATTCTACTAATTGTATTGGTGGTATAATATTATTCACACACACAAAGTGCAACCTTGTAAAATTGTACACAAAAAATGATAAATTTAAGGCAGGATATTATTCTTGCAATTCTGTGATCTAAACTGGAAAGGTTATAAACATTATTTGGAATCAGTTGGATATAATAGTAATGAGTTGGTGCTTACTATAGATAGCATAAAATGTTAATGATTAATAAGTTGATATTGTATAATGCTATTACTGATCATTCATTGTTAATGTTGTGCTATAGAAGCTGGTGAAGCTAGTGCAGATGTTCCAGAGGGAGAAGAAGACAAGGCTAAGGATGGTGTTGCAGCTGGAGAAGGTATATTTGAATTCGATTTAATTTAAAAGATGATTAATTAAGATTATAATTTATAGAAGCTGCTCCAGAAGCAGCAGAAAATGATGGAGAAACAGAGGAAACTAAAAAGAAGAAGAAGAAACGCAAGCCACGTGGAAAAGCTGGAGGTGTTAAGCAACAAACGGATCCTCCAACCGTTCCTATATCAGAATTGTTCCCTGATGGAAATTTTCCAGTGGGACAGATAATGGAGCATCCACCTGCAGCAGGAGTAGATGATAGAATGGCAAAAGAGCGTTTCTCTAGCGAGGAGGCGCGTGCTTTTGATAGGATGAATAACGATATTTACAATGAAGCCAGACAAGCGGCTGAAGCTCACAGACAAACAAGAAAATACATTATGAATTGGGTATATTATAGATTTAGATTAGCGATTAACAGAAAATATTGTACTCATTCAAGACTATATGAAAACGCGATTTGTTTTTTCACAGGTAAAGCCTGGAATGACTATGATAGAGATATGCAATGAATTGGAAAATACAGCTAGATCATTGATAGGAGAAGATGGCCTTAAAGCTGGATTAGCCTTTCCAACCGGCTGTTCCAGAAATCACTGCGCTGCTCACTACACTCCAAACGCAGGTGATCCAACAGTCTTGGAGTACGATGATGTTACCAAGATTGACTTTGGTACCCATATAAATGGGCGGATCATCGATTGTGCATTTACCTTGACTTTCAATCCGAAATACGATAAGCTGATCGAAGCTGTTCGCGATGCTACAAATACGGGAATTATGGCCGCTGGCATTGACGTTCAACTTTGCGATGTTGGTGCTGCCATTCAGGAAGTCATGGAATCGTACGAAATCGAACTAGATGGCAAGACTTATCCGGTACGAATGTGCAATCCTTTTCGTATAATCGTTTTTATGTTGCAAATTAAATCGATGCTATTAAAGCGTTAATTAATTTACAGGTGAAGTCCATTAGAAATCTTAATGGACATTCGATTTCTCCGTACCGCATCCATTCTGGTAAAACTGTACCGATAGTTAGAGGTGGTGAGGCAACCAGGATGGAGGAGAATGAATTTTACGCTATCGAAACTTTTGGATCTACTGGAAAGGGAATCGTGCACGATGACTTGGACTGCTCTCACTATATGAAGAGTTTCGATGCCGGTTTTGTTCCACTAAGATTACAGAGCAGCAAGTCTCTTCTTAACACGATTAATAAGCATTTCGGTATGTGTTGGTTGTCGATGAAGAGCTTCAGCTATTCACAAGTTAAATACTATTCAATGCGTACATATTACTTTTAGGTACTTTGGCTTTTTGTAAACGATGGTTGGATCGCGTTGGTTGTACCAAGTATCAAATGGCTTTGAAAGATCTCTGCGACAAGGGAGCAGTCGACGCCTATCCGCCGTTGGTTGACGTCAAGGGATGTTATACTGCTCAGTTTGAGCACACTTTGGTCTTACGTCCATCTTGCAAAGAAGTAATTTCCCGCGGAGATGACTATTAACATATCTGTTCTCGAATCACGTTGCATGTACTCACACCTTCTGTTTAGGAATGTACAATTTGGTCTGTGTAAAATCAGTAACGATAAATGTTTATGATTAATAACGCAGAATTTAATTATATCACCTAATGATACTTTATTCATCGTTTCCCTTTGCCAGTGTACAATCAAATATCTTTGTAACGCAATATTTTACTAGTAAAACTCCTTTTTTTTTTTTTTTTTTTTTCATTTTTTTGTCAAATACTTAGCATGCTGGCATATGAACAATACGAAGTAGTATCGAGGATAACATTTTTTCACGAGCTTGTTTATTTCCGATGGATGAGTAAAAATGAGAAAAATATTATTGTTGTTGAATAAAATATATTTGATACCTCAATTGTACCGGTGTGATGATAGTTTTAAAGATGATTAGTTCGCCCTGACCACAGACAGAATAGCTGCGTGTAACGCGATTACGGTAAAATTCGAGTGAAACATTTCGACTATTTACATAATTGATTCGTAGAATTTTAAGTTACGATAATAAACATGCTTTTATTGGGTCTAAGAAGTAACAGAATTGAATACATTTTGAAAGAATGTAATCAATAGAGGAATCACTAGATTCGAATCAACGATCACGTTCCTACAGTACTGATCACTGTCGATCGAAATAGTATTGCGTAACAATAGACGTTTTACTTTTTCCCTGATCTATGAACGCTGTGGTGTAATAAATGTTACTACGTCGCGTATCAAACGCCTTTAATTTCTCTGCTAGACGCTGAAGGTTTTGGCCATTTAAAATAAATAAGCTTACAGTGAATCACATTACAAGCTGAATATTTACGCTTGCCATTTTCTCTTGAGAAATTACATTTTCTACTGTTCCCTCGGTTCAACACGCAGTCAGTTTCATCGTCTGGCGAGAGAACAATCGTACAGTGATTTCAATAAATCAAAACCTTCTGCCACTACCATAAATACAGCTATACAAATGTGTGGTCCCGGGGATGCTGCTGCTTCTGCTACTTTTCCTATTTCGAGTCTTTCCGTATTCTACGTTCAGATCTATTTCTCGTACAAATTTAGGCACGACGATAAACTAACGATCGACACTTACGTTACAACGATATTTCTCTTCATTCATCTATTCTACTTTATACCATTCACGAGTGTTTTGCTCCTTCAATTACACTAACGGTGTTCGACTCTATACGAGAACGTCCTAAAACGATCCGGTACGCGTAACAAAATATCGAATTATTCGCCTTGACCACGATTCGGTCAAGCCTAGCTATTTTTCCATCAAGGCGTTCTGCTAAGGCCCGTTTGTCGCACACCTCGACACTTCGTTCTCCGTTTAGCCATCGGAGGCGGAGCGGCGAGGACGCGGTGTATTGGTCACACGTGCGTAGGCACGGTGGATGCTGGTCGAAGGGATATCATCTCGAGAAGATTCGTGTTAACGTTTACGATTGCGATTTCCTTGATTTACCACGTTACACGTTCTGGTTCGAGTATACGTGCAAATAGGAGTCATCTAATGTACATGTTATTTTACCACAGAAACGACGACACGCGACGCTCCTATAGCTAAACTAGAGAATCTCAAATCGACAACTCTCGACGCCCATTAGAAAAGACGAAATTGATCGTTTCGCGCGTTAACACGTTCTCCGATAACTTTGGAAGAGTATAAGGCAAATTCATCTACTTTTCAGGAGAAGCACGTTACGAAGCTTACCACGGATTAAATATACTTCGAGCGAATAAATCTACCGTCAACAGTCACGATCTTTCCTCTATTTTTTTTTCGACGTAGCTGCTTCCTTCGACGGCGCGTTGCATAACCCTTTATTATACTTTGAATCACCATGCTCTCCCGCACACCACGGTGTCCCCTTATCGCGTTACACGATCGACCTTTTGTTTCTGCGTTTCTTCTTGTCCCCCTCGGTCGGTTCACTGAGAGTCTGTACGCGGTCTCAGCTTCGCTCTTGCTGTAATCAAAAGGTTGCTGGGCGGTTCCACCGTTTGTTGCGACTGTTCCAGCTGGAAACAACATTTTATTATATTCCTGTCATTTAATTTAAACATCGTCATGCCAAACAGCTTTTCGATGGGCTTCGTTACTGACAACTTGGGGGGGGGGGGGGGGGGGGGGGGGGAAGAGGAGGAGGCAATTCGTCGAGCAATCTAATACGTTGATGTGTATACCCGACGCTACTAACTTGGAGCCCAGCGCCTCATACACAGCTGTCATTGTCGAGGTTTTTGTGTCTAAATCTGTCCTATTGGAAAACCTGGCTCAACATTTCGCCAGCATTGCAGCTAGGCTTCATCAAGCAAGGATCGAATGACATAATGACACTGGTACGTGTAGTATCGCACGATGTATGTATACCACACCACACTGGCAACGAAGTTGGCTGCAATGCTGACGAAACATTGGGATAGATTTTCCAAGAGGATGCGTATTACATTCGAAAATTTGTTTCAATGTTCTGGAAGCCAGATTTGCTTCGAATAACTTTTCTCCTCTTGGCTGAATGGCTACAAACATTTTCACAACTGTATAAACACAGAAAACACCCTACCGTCATTTCGATGTGTTTCGCCCTCTGTTCGATAGCCCTCTGTAACGCGGTTCTAGGATCGTCCTTGTAATTTTCTTCCCGATTTTTTTCAGCCTCCCTTCTCGAGGCAGCTTCCCTATGCTTCTCCAGCGCCCGTTGGAGCTCGCTCTTCTGATTCAGCACGCTCCTGCCGCTGGAGGAAAGTGAAAACCGATGCGGTTAGCTATAATAATTACGTGTCGGTCGGTCGTTTGCCGCGCGTGAAAATCACGACGACGTGAAAAACACGCGAACACCGTGGTTACGATCGTACAACGGCCGCGGTTAAATTGTAAAAGTGGGTGGGAATGAGTCACGGGGGGATAGAGAAGTTCGCACGCGTGTAACATCGACAGGAAACAATTTTCTCGATGATAAGCGTGCGAAACGCATCGAAAAGCATGTGCGTAAATTATTCTTTACGCGTATTTGTCACTTGACAAACAGATTTCGATGAAATTTACTAAATTGAATAATTGTATTGCATACCCAGATAGCACCGTACATCCAAAGGACGTCCGTTTCATGTTTAGTTTATATCTGGACGTCCTACATCCACTTTAGATACCCCTAGGAGGTTCGTAAGACTTAAATTTCGGATGGATTCGTTTAGTAATTTTGACATGACGTTTCTGTGCTATTTGGGATGTGTATACGCATCCCAGATTAGTAGACTTTTATCGCGAAATGTCCTACTTTCTCCAAAAGTCGTTTATAAAATGCGTGGCAACACTGTTGATATTAATTTTTCGACTAAATTAGTCGAGATACGATTACCTGTTACAATCGAGGCCAATCGTGACGAAATTTGTAAGCAAACGAGACGCTCTAATCGTGCAGAAACTTACACTTTTTGATTGAACAACAGCTCTCTACGAAGATCCTTATGGTTATTGGAATTGAGGTAGGGGTTGTACGGTTTTCTGGGCAAGATCAGGCCGTCCGGTCCCATGTGAGGAGCAGGTGGTGGCGGAGGTGGTACACCCAACACCGGTGCCATGCTTTTTCCTGCAAAAGTACAGTCTATCATTCGTGTCGTTGCGAAGGTAATTCTACACTCCACATGTACATACAGGAGGGTGGTTCTAAAATGGTTGGCGAGACTCTGGACTAGTGCACCGGCGATGTTTAAAAGTCGGTATCGGTAATTTATAAAATGTAAAGCACCGTTCGTTGACAGGCAATCTTTTTCGGGAATAATTATTCCACGATCCGAAACGTATAAAAATTTCCAAAAGCGTTTAGTAATCCACGAGTAGCCATTTCGTGAACAGCCTCGACGGATTATATCACCGCAAACAACGTGACACGTTTAAATCTCACTTTTGTTGTTTCCCGTGTAACGAACAAGCGTCCAGAACGTGGCCAAACATTTGAAAAGCACCCCTTCTTTTCGTGCACACGCGATCCATCTCCGTCGATGAGGAAGAGGCTTTTCCGCGTGTCAAAATTCCGGAAATAATTGCGGCGGGGAACGGAGGAGTAGAACACCGTCGCGGAGTCGAGTGTACATTTTTAACAGGACTATGCCTACGTGGGGGCTCGAATAGGATATCGCTTGCGGTTTTATTCACCCTCCAACGAGGCGATTCTCGCCCTGACGGAACCCTCCTCGCACATCACGGGGAATCGCACTGAAGCATTTCCGGCCTCGTCGTATCAAACGGCCAACTGCTATATACTTTTGCGCGGGGCTTCGCATAGCTGCTGCTAATCGGATATAGAAGTACACGAGGCACTGGGTGCCGGGTCAGTATCTACGTGCCATCCTGCTCTCAAGGTGAAGTGTAAACAATGCGTTTTTTTATTGCATAAAACCGAATATGTTCTCTAGCTAAGAAAGCTAGAAGAAACGAGAACGTGCTGGAAAAGTGGGCAAGTGAAGATGTTCCAAACTGAATAATCACGAATTTTTCGTCAAGTACTTATACGCGAACAATGTGTGTATGTATTCGGAACTCCCACGATTCCACGAAGTATTGCCGGTTAGAGGCAGCAGCTTGTAGCCGCGGTCGGAAAAGTATATCCCGATAGTCTAGGTCGTGATTTACGGCCAGCTGGAGCACATCTTTCTTCCGGTATACAGTTACGACCTCAAGAATTCCCGAAACCAGTTTCCTATTGCACGCCCGTATTAATCGCCGCGAATATCTCTGCCGGTTGCTCGATACCCAAAACACTCGATCTCGGGATCACAAACGATCGTTCACCTTTCACGGCGGCACCATCGACACCCCCGAATATCGATAACGATTCTTTCAAAACATCGACGACCACGATCGTTACACGACGTTCCCGGTTAAGATAACGGAAAGATATGCTAAAACATATCGTAATTTGTATTCCCGACAACGACGATGAACGTGTCACCATTTTCAACGAGACTGAATCCTGTGAATCTCTCTGTTTGTGAATGTCAACGATGACAGAGAAGTTTCGTGTCTCGTCTACGAAACTAAACTAGGAGAACAAACACACACCGGCGTCATAGTGTCGCGGCATTGCGCAATTAACGCGAGCTAGCCTTATTCTTTTCTCTCCCTCGGTTCAGGTCGCGTGGGAGGGAGGTGACCGGACAATCTCGCGTGACCTATCGACACGTTGAAAAACGGCACGATCGCGCCGCCGCCAGGAAAAAGAGGTTGCGAAAGTGAGTCACCGTTTCGTTGCTTGCTTGCTTGCGTGCGTGCGCCTCCAACAACCGCCGCACGATTTCGTGGAAATTGGAATGATGAGGTTGTTCGAGGAGATCTGCAAGTACAGTTTGGCTCCTTTTTGCTCCGTGTAATACGATCGTATCTCGTGACCGTATTTAGTCTCGCGGAAACCGGCCTACCTACCCGCTTGTAAAGCTTATCCTCCTGGTATCAGAACTGAAGAATCAGGGTTCTATTCTATTAGTGATTCATTATGTTTCAGAACAGTTTTCCATTCGAAAGAGACAACAACGATCTTCGGAAACTATTATAACAGACTATTACGCAATGTTAATCGTTACCTACTCGGGTGAAAATCTTGTTCGTTATTCCACAAATCGTACTGTATACAAATCTTGTTGCTTATTACAGCTCTATTACTTGTGTTTTGCATTTTCATGTAAGAAAACATCGAAATAACCCCTCTTTACACTAGTTAACCCTTTCGATGTTACGTCGACTGTACTCGCCATGAAAAAATGGCATATTTTTTGCAATTTTAATTGCAATTTAAAAAAATTTGTATCGTATTTAAAGTAAAATTTAGGTAAACCAAATACTATATTTGTAATTTTAACACGTATAGTATACTCGTCATAGCTTAAAAAATAATTAAGCACACAAGTGCACGTTTTCAAAATGAAATAAAGCACTTAAAGGGGTTAATTTCCACAACGAAGAACCATAGTCTAGGACGCCTCGTGTCACGATCGAAGATTGATTTCCCGTTTAACGATCTGTGCCACGCGATAACACGCGATATTCGTGTATCGACGACGGGGGGAGGAAAGGGGACAGTGACTTTCGCGAACGCGCATCAAAAGGGAAGAAGTGGATCGGATCCGCTTTAGTTCCATTTAACGAGCGAAAAGTGAATTTCACGGGCAAATATCTATCGAAGCGCGACCGGCCAGGTTGCTCGGGTAACGAGCGCGGATCTTTTGCGGATTCGCGGAATTAGGTTCCTCCGTTCGAGCGACACCATCGCCGCCACAATATCGAGAAATACGAGCGAGTCATAAAACGTGTCCAGCGAGAGCCAACGAAACGAAAGTAAAGAACATCGGTTGTCTGTCGTTCGAGGATTTTCTACCCGTAAAGCACTCTCGATCTTTCGGAATTTGGAATCGTGGCAGAATTTCCAAGCCAAAGGGATCCCCCACTGCGTGTCGCCGATGCACACGACTACTAACATCGTCGACTCTCGAGTTCTTTACATAAAACGTTTTCAATTTCCATTAAAAGCACACGGCTCGCTCGATTTTCTTCTCATGACTGGGCATCAGGCTAATGGCTAATTAAAGCCGACGCTAAAATGTTTGAAAGTGATTTGCGGCGAAAGCGCAATCGGGGTTACTCGTTCGATACATTAATTTCGACTTGATGGTTCTTGCTAAAGACCTATTTTCAATGACGAGGAGATATAAATTTCATACGTGGAAACCCCGTTCGAACGCTAAATCCTGGGTAACACAGAGTGGTGGGATCGCGATCGATTTGCAATATATCGAGGAACGCTCGTGGAGCGTGGTCCCTCGAGATTTAATGCCTGTCCGGGTAAGGATACCGCATAGAAAGAGAGAGACGTGGCGAGGGGCACAGAGAAGCGGCGAGCGAGCCGAAGAGAGGAGAGGAAAAAAAAATATAAAAATGCGGACCCAGTCAGGATGTAATTTTGAGGCAGATGTGCGGGTACGAGAGGGAGAGATCGTTGCACCGCGAGCAAAGCGCAGCTGAAGTAGCGTGAGAAAATGCGACGACCGCTCCGACAGATGATAATGACCGAAGGGCAAAGCCAGGGCCGTAACGATTTGGCGGATTCAACGAGAACCCGCGTGCTATAACCACGGTCGGCTGCTTCTTTTCCGAATTTCTCTGCTTGTGTTTAATATTAAACCCGATCGAACGGAGAATCAACCATTTTGGAGAATCAACCAATCTCATTAACTGTTTAAAGGTTGAGATGACGATCTTAGATACTGCTGCTTCTCACTGTGTATTGTTCGAATAAAATTCTGCTCAACTCTCACTACAGCAGTGGGACTAAAACGCGGAAGATGGACTCGTTCCCGGTAATCCAAGGGTGATAGTCGTTACATCAATCCGGGCTAGGCACCCCGTACGCGGTTTCCAACGTGTTCCTAATGTTAATGTATCTGCATTATAAGAAGGCGAACGCAACATTTGCATGTCGCACGCAATCTAGCGTTTCGCGGTATCGAGACGAGGAAAATTGCGCACGACAGGAAATACGAACAGATTATTATGAAAAAGAAAAAAAAACAAGGGCAATCTAACGAGAAGGTATACTAAGATCTATTGTAATGTTACTTTCTACAATATTACTGGAGAATATTGTTGGCCGGGGAGGGATGTGAAAGGATGTACGAAACTGGTAAACCGTAAACTGCAAATTGAATTATGTTAATTCGTACAATAAAGACCCACTGACACGGTGAAACGATAATCGGGCGCGGCGCGTTTGGCTGATTGATATTCAGGGTGCATCGAGGTGGAGGGGGGCTGTGGACAATACCGAACGGACGGTCGTGCAGCAGCGGGCATCTTTTTCAATCCATCGCAGATTTGGTCAATGAAACCAAAGCGCACCGACACTATCGTATCCAGCATGATCTGATGTGCCGCCTTTTATAGTCAGTTAAGGGTCTTTACGAGAGGATCATCGTAAACGGTAATGAGAATAAAAAAAAGAGAGAGAGATGCGTCGATGACGCGTGACTCACCGTTTGTTAAACCGTCGCAGCTGTCCGTGTCGCTCTTCAGACCGTTAGCGATCACCTGAAACACGTACGCTTGATTAACGGAGCGAATATGCGACAGTTAGTTATCAATGACAGATATATTCTTATTCTACGAGCGTCTCGCCTCGAATCTCGCTGAACCAGTTACGTGTTAATTTATGGCTCGTTAACCGTAGGAAATTGGAATTTCTACGACCAAAGATTACTGGTGTGAGCCAAGGATTAAGGAAACATTGAAGAGAATTTTCATGTACAAGGTATCATCTTTTTTTCCTTCTAGAGTAGAACTTTCGATTAACTATTAATCTCGTCTTGTCTAGAAAACAATATTATTAGGTGTACAAACTAATTCGTGGCCACCACAATTAATTACTGACTGCAAATCGTTATTATTTTTTCGAGAGGGATTCGCCAACTGCCCGAGAAATGGTGGGAAATATTTTCAAGACTAGAAAGTAGTTCTTTTTTTTGTAAATAAACAAGAAATCTATGAATAGAAGGTCACGAATTAATTTATCCACGAAATTGCAACTTGTTGAAGAATGAACCGCGGATAGAAACAACCGAAGTTCGAATATCACAAAGTAGATACAATATCGGGATAATACTGTATGTATACAGGTGAGCAGAAGGAACTTATTCATCCGTTCGCGAACAGATGAATGGCAAAGTGGTTTCCCGTCGCTGGCTCCTTTGCCCCGAAGGAAGAATCGAAAGTACGATCGTCGACGCATTATACAGTTTCCCTCGTGAGTCGTGACTCGTCATCGATGATTTCACCGCGATACCAGCGTGTCGTTGCAAGGCAGATACCGACGACGAAGACTGCTCGTTGCCGGTTACCATCGAGCGTGAATGCAATGTCAACGCGCGATGAATAAATAAAAATCTGCGAAACACGTTCGTTCGAGCGTTCCTTTCGTAACACGTTTTCTGCGACTAGTTCGTCGAAAAATGCGACGGAAACCGGTAAATACGATTATTACCGTTGAGACCTTCGGGGGTTTGCCAACAGTGTAAGTACATTTTTTTGAAAAAAGTTATTGCAACCGTTTCGCACGGCGTTACACAGCTGGTTTCGCCAGGGTTCCAGTGACACACTGCTGTTTACGATAGTATCATAAGCATCAACGTATCACGTTACACCCGAATCCCTTGGGCAGTAATAAAACTGCACGACTCAGTGGTGGGCTGTAAAAGCCTTTGGAAATCTCTGATTGTAAATACCAGAGAGCCACGTTTACACGCGAATCGTGAAACTTTCGGTGCGGTATTAGTATTTTTTTCTTTATTTTTTTCCATCCACCGTATCTACGAGACCCAGTTTATCGTGGAAACTTCCGCCCTCGATATCAGTGGTCGATAGGCGGTCACGTCCGAGTGAAGAACTATACGGAATGCTCGCGCGTGGTGAATCCACAGGTCGGCCGCCTCTGTCAATTCTTCGTATCGGGCACATTTGTCCGCCGATAGGAACCGTTTACATAAGTATCAGACGTTCGATTAATGTTTACGATACTGTTAACGAGCGGCGTTACTCAGCGGAAGTTCGTTCAAGGAAAGAAAACTATAACTCTGTCGTACGACTGATGGAACACCGTGTGTGTACGTAGAAGAGAGTGAAAGCCAGGCGAAAGTACAAAGAACGTGCGGAATCGGTAGCTTCATCGCAATTAAGTATTTATAACGTAACCGTGTGATCGATCGGTTTTCGTCTTATAACTGGACTCGATCGATGTTACACACAGGTGAAGGCGTATCGAACAAAGTTTATTCCGACGAATTTTTTCCGTTGCCAAAAGATCCACTCGCGACTAGGAAATTAGGTAGCTTCGTGTAGTCTTGCTGAAAGTTAGCACCGTGTGGCACAATAAACCAGAGATGCTTTTACCCTACTTTCCCGATGCATCGCCCCGCGTCGAGTCCGTTGTTTCGCGAAGCATCGAAAAAAAAAAAAGAAACAACGAGCCACCCGAGAAAACGGGTGCAAGGAGTCTCTCGCTGGGGCCAGCATTATGCAAGCACGTTCATGTCGAACAGCTATTGTCGCTATCTCTTTGTAGCACGATGCTGCGAAAGAACACCGGGGGCGCACAGGTGCATAAAAAACGCGAACGTAACAGGTTTTTACAAAGCGAACGATCGTTGTCTCGAGGCTGTGAAAGGAATCTCTCGAACGTCGCTCGACTTTGTCGCAGAAAGAAAAAAAATAAAATGGTCCTCGGAGCTTTGCTCCGAAATTATACGGTTGTCACTTCGCGAGCTATATGTACCACCTTCGATTTAACCACACTGATCACACATATGCACTAGAAGGTGTATTCGGTAATGCAATTTCCTAAGGTTTGCGCGTTTACTCCGTTGTAACTATAAGTCAAAAGCTACCTGCGACTCGTTCATTCTCGTTCGAGAACAGAACACCCAATGAGCTCATACACGTCGAATTGAAAACAGCATCGCAGGTGCGCACAGTCCGCGAACAAAGCACCAGCGGAAACAAAACGAATAGTTCTGAATCATTTAACGAACACCGTCGTCAAAGATCACATGCTTCGTTCGGAATCGTCTTAGAATCAACTCAGGCTTCCCACGTGAGTTTTCAAACTCGTACACTACACTATTTCCCGACTTCCCCTTTTTTCTTCCATCACGCGCGAAGAACCGAAGGAAACTGATTGTGAAGAAGAACGCGGAAAGGATCGGGGGATTCTCGTTCGCATTCCAAAGGTGCTTAGTTTCGGTACCCGCGTTGCACTACACTCGCTCGAAGAAAAAAAGAAAAGAGCAGCGCGTCGAAAAGCAGCGGGGGACGAGTTTACGAAGGCTAGGACAGGACAGAAGAACAGCTAATTGCTCGTCCACGGGCGTGAACGCGTGCGTAACGGCTCCGGAGGGCTCGCACGAGGAGGCCCAGGCCCCTATTCGTTCCTCGATGCTTGGGAGCGGCCGATACACGCGTCGTCTATCCGCTTCCTCGCCCCGCAGCGCGACCAGTGTGTGTTTACGTACGTATATGACGCGTCGGTTAAACGAGTTACGATGAGCTTTAGCCGGTGGGGGTCGCAAGTCCGGAAGGAAGTGGAAAATATTAACGTTTCTACGGAACAGGGGGAGCAGCAGCCGTGTCCTGACTGTCCTCGGCCGGTGGTTCTTTCGCATTGTGATCGATGTGAAAGGGCACTCCGAAAAGGGGGACTATACTACGTGTGACACTCTGCGGTTCCGGCAATGCGAGTACCGTTTCGGTCTCTGTGTTTATTTTTTTTACCTTTTCCTTTCTTCGTTTAAGAATCGTCCGAAAGAGACGCAGGGGGCCAAGCAGGTAGGCTAGCATTATTTTTCGGAAGGTGTAGGAATTCTTCCCGAAATCACAAGCTCTACCGCGCGTCTCATTTCCCTAGCCCCATCGTCTCTAACTGGTACATACGCTCCCGTTGATATTGCACGGCGGCGGCGGGGTGACTGCGACGGGAAGATCCGTGCGATTCAAAGGTCACCGACTCGAGAAGAGCCGCTGCTTGAAAATCAACCGGAGAAAACTTCATGTAAGCGATCAACGAGGACTCCGCGCTTTTTCTACCGGAACAATAGCCTCCGTGAGGAACTCGCGCGCGCGCGCGCGCACTCGCCTCTGCTCGATAGCAATAGAAGATAATATATTCCGGCGCAAAGAGGCGGGCACAGAGGAAGTCGATGCCGGGGACAATTATCCCGTCCCGAACGACACTGGGAAGACTGACGCAGCCGCCTCGTTTAAAACCGCAATTTCGACATTTTTTGCTGTCGCGTCTTTAAATCTTCGGTCGCGTCATTAAATATTCCTCGCTCGAAGTCACCGTACGTACGTATGGTGGTCAAGTTTAATTGCAAGTCTCTAGGCAGACGGTAAATCACTGAACTACTCGTGTTGTTTTTCGAATGGGGGTTATTTTGGTTTCTCGATACAAGGTAGTGTCCGATCCGAGTAAAGCCGTTTCGTGGATATCAAAGGACATAAGACGGTTCGAAGGGTCTTGAACTACCAACGATAAACCAATTTTTCGAGGAAGAAACAGATCAATCCTAGGTTGTATACACTGTATACTACAGGGTGCACCACGGAACGTAATCAGCTTAGATTATTCCACTGCTAGTTGTTCGATCGAACAATTTGTTTTGCATGTTTAACCATCGGTGCGGGTGTCGTAAATAGAACTACTAAGCAGTTGTTTCTTAACCGTTTACGCCACCATTTTTAAAGTTTCTTTGGTTTATCCATAAAAAAAACTGATGGTGACCTTGAGAATTCTGGAAAAAGAGGGTTATTGGAAATTTTGGCACAACCATCTTAAAACTCTCATTGAATCATGTTATATTAGCCAAGAAAATGTTCGATCGAACAGCTAGTAGTAGAATAATCTAAGCTGATCACATTTCGTGATCCTCCCTATATACACGAGGAATAACAACATCCCCTTCTGAAAGTGTAACAAAGAAATCGACGCGACGTCTCGGTGGTCGAAAGTAGCCGCGGGAGCGGTACATAACGTTCTAACGAGCAATAATTTCGTTCAGCTTCGACAGGTTACAGGATAAATCTTAATTCCCCGAGCGCTTTCACCGAAGCTTCAAACCTTCCGAGATCGTATCGTTTCCCCGGTGTTCATTGTATTCGCACGGGAGGCACGGGGAAACCAGCGGCGGCGGACACGCCAGGAACTCGTTCCTGCGGCCCCGAATGTGCTGGTGGCGGTCTCTTAACCGGCTCTTAATTGGACCTATTTATTGCTCCGACGATCCGATGGAAGGTAACGGCGCCGTCGTCGGTCTCGCGAACGTGGAAACCGCGGGAAAAAGCCATCCGAACAGAAAGTGCTTCGATTTGTAACCGATATTTCATTGCTAATGCAGCATCATCCTTTCGGTTCAGCGCGCGTCCGCGGAATAATAGGTCGGACGGAATTTATCGTCGACACTTTGACCGGCATTCGACACTCTACGGTGGTCATGGACGTCATCGATGACCAGCGACGTCATCGTTCATTCAAACACACTCGG